AAAACCTTGCCACACAAACCCAACACGCCATCCTAGCCTGAGAGCACTACCACTGTATGATAGAACACAGAACATGCTCCTCCACTTCACTTTCTGGTCTGGCTGATTAAGGACTGCTGCATGTTTCTGTGGATGATATGGTGGTCATCTGCTTGTCCAATTCCACCTTTCTGGCTGTGACTACAGCTTTGCAGCAAAGCAAATGGAGTCAAGGTACATCCCATATCAAGGACTCAAAGCAGTCTGATTTTTCAGGGTAAGCGACTATACTCTTTTGTGTTAACACTGTTTCATTTTTTTGACACATGTAATAGCTTTGCGAGTTGAGTGTGATCTTTGACCACCTGATGAAGCTTAAAATTGCAAAGTCGTTATTTCTGCCAAACTTTTGAAGTGACAGAATCCAAGGGTCACCTGTCCTCACACATGACCCTGCAGACCTTACTCAACACTGTAAATATTGCTTTGGATTTTTTGTTTTAAACATTTTTTTTCCTGGCTTCCTTTTTACTTTGCGAAGTCTGGTTACACATATCTGCATTATGGAGAAGAATCTTCCACCTCCCCTTCCCTCCATTGAATGGCCAAATCTAGGGATGAGTTAACAAGTGGATTGTAGACTGAATGCAGTCAGAGGGAGATGTATTTTAATCAATTTACAAAAAAAAAAAAAAGTATAGGTTATCTGTGCGATGGATGCAGATATGCTAAAGCTGGCTTTGCAGTTTCATTTCAGTGATCCTATCCTTTCTATTAGTTAGGTTCTACTAATTGTTATTTAAACATGGATATACTTTTCTGGGGGTATTTCAGTAAGGCAGAGCTAATAAATCCTGAGTTATTTCCATACAGGGCTGTTTGAGTGCCGTTGCCCTGCTTTGTGTTCAAGTACAATAGTCATTCCCAGTGTTTGGTCTGCAGTGTACCTAAACTAAGACAGCTTCCAGGCTGGGAGTGGGGAGGTGCCTGGGAAGCTTCCTGAGTGCTGTGGGGCTGGTATGTAAGCAGAGAGGGAGCCTTGGCGGACCAGAACTGACTCTGTACATTGTGCATCACCCTTTCCACAAGTTCCACAATACTCGCACTGCCAATATTTAGCATCTAAGTTATCGAAATCTCAGGGTATCCTGAGAGCTGGAGAGCTGACATTGGGATGTGTAGAAAAAGAATCTGTAATCCTACAGCAACTGACTATCTCTAGAAGACCTTGATTTTTAAAAGCTCTGAAGAGTAATTGTTGGACCACATGGATTTCAGAGAACAAGTATCTTTACATATTTTAATTTGGGGGAAGACAAAAAGAGATATGAAAAATAGTTATTCCTAGTAAGCAAAATAATTTGATTGCATCTTTTTTATTTTCTTGAGCAGTAAGAGTGAATGTAAGATACCATACTTACTGTTTCACTATAAAAAATTAACAATAAATAGTCTTTACAAACCATAAATAAAATCTTAATGTCTGTTTTTACTTATATAGATTTTAACCATGGTTAAATTACTCAACAGGGATTAAATAGCAGGAATAGCCTGCCAACACCACAGCTGAGACGAACTTCAGGAGTTTCTGGCATTCCACCTATAGAATCAACATCATCTAGATGGGAACGGAGTAACAGCAAGAGATCTCATCAGGAATATAACACATCAAGGTAAGCACTTAACCACATTTTAAGGGCAATAATAAATGTAGCCGTTCTACAATGTTTATGTCTGTAATGCTGGAACGTGGCAGTGGAAGTATTTAGTGTAACATCTTGTGAATTGAGTCTCCAAATTCTGCCAGCATAAACTGGAAAATGTTTCAAGTTAATTATATGCTATACTTTGTATCTCTATTTGGTCTGAAGTAGATAATCAGGTCATTCTGAGGTTGAATGATATGTTCTGTCATAGTAAGTAGACCTGTGTATCAGTTTTAGTAGGAAATGGAAAAAAAAAAAAAGTCCAACATACACAATTGCAAAACAAACTAGTTTAACCTCTAAACCTTTACTGACTTCCTCCTTCTCCTTTTTACTTAAAGTATGTATCACTTCCACATACCCCAAAATTTGTTTTCTAATTAAACAGATGATATAACTTTCTTGCATTTGGTAGCCACTGTTGTGTGTATCGCAATGTTTATTATTCCTGTGGCCATCAAACAAGCAGTAAGGTAGATTAAGAAAGCCATCTCTTCTCTACTTGTTAGTCAATATGGTGTAAATAAAGCTTTTATTTCCAGAATTAAGATTACATTTTGAATTAGGATTAAAATAAATGTATGGGGTTTTTCCTTTTGTTTAATGTTGTATATGAGTGAAACTTCACAAATTTAGTTTTATTTAAATATGTAAATGTGTATGGCTTTGCGCAATATCTCGTGAGAAAAGTACAGCAGATGCTTGACATTGCGTGGCAGCTTAAACCTGTAAAAATGTGTGTGGTTTTGCTGCTTTTTTTAATACTTGGTATCTCTTAAGACTAATGATTTTACATAAGTCATAAGGAAAGTATAATAAATGCATTTTTTTAAAAGAAAATGAGTTATGCTGATAACTGATAATTACTAGTAGTAGATGAAAGTTTATATACACAATATTGAAGAATTTATCAATATTATATTTAATTTTTAAATGAACCATTTAAATTATTTGGCCCTTGTCAATGGCTTTTTCCCCTTGAATATAATAGGCTTTTCAAGTTTTTACATAGTAAAACTTAACTGTGCTTTGTGTATAAAATATAATTGAAGATGCTAGTAGTAGCAGTGGTAGTAGTTTAAAGATTGTATTTTCATGCTGATTTGGTCATCAGTGTTTGAAAGAATCTGCCCAGTTATATCCACTGGAAATAACCAGAGACCAGAGCAATCGCTTTAAACTTACAAAGTGTGGGACTTCAGTTTGAGGCTCAGCACTTCTGGTGCAGATGTTTACAGAGGGTTTCCTTACAGCTCCTACTGACCAAAGAACCTACTCAAGCTCACTTGATTAAAAGTAGCAATATGGAAAACACCCTCGCTCATACGCTGTCACTTTTTAACTATCTCTTGATCCTGATGACTAGCACTTCTGATTAGTCGTGTTCCCCTGCCCTGCTCCTGTCCACCCTCATGCAGCCCTAGAACACGTGTTCGCTTTTTTGTGGTTTGTGTCCTGCCCTTCAGAGTTCTTGCCAACACTTGCACTGTCTCCGTCTCCTTGCATCTTCCAGTGATGGTTCTTATCAGGTGTGCTTCAACTTCTAACACATAATCATCTCAAAATTCCCATGGGTGCTTACCTTACACGTAAGGTTAGGTGAAATAGCTGAACTGGCATAGCTGTTCCTGCTGCCAAAAGAGGCAGTCCTGCATTCCTGGAGCACTTTGTGCCATTGGCTCTGGCTTTTGGGTAAGCCCCTTAAATTGTCAGAAAAATCACAGCAATAAGACAACAATTTTTCCTGCCTTGGGGAGCTGATTCAGCCCAATGAAGGACCCAATGAATGGTAGAAGAGAAGCAAGGAGGAGCAGGCTATTACTAAAAAGAGAGTGTGAAACAGCAAACTGTTCACTAGGAGAAAAAAAGCTTATAAAAAACAAAATATTTTTTACATGCAGTGACTGTTTTCAACTGAATTCTAGCTGAGTTGAGAAAGATATTACACAGTGGTGCAATAAATTAATATTGCTACAAAATTTCATTTAATGTTAAAGACTTTTATTCTATTCATCCAGGCAGTGTTCAAAAGCAGCTTTTGAGAGCTGCTGGTTTATGTGCATGCAAATTTTTGATTTGGTTTCTCATTCAAACACTAGTTCAAGATGAACTGACCTTGCATAATATATAGTCTTCCTACACTAAATACTGTTGCAGCATTTTTATATGCTTTAAAAGAATGCATGTAAGCTATAATAAGCAGTGCATAAATAGTGAAAAGTTCACTCTATCCCAGCTGTCAACTCAAGCATTTTTTAAAAGTTGACTAACATGTCAGCATCAGGCTTCAGAAAAATAAATCTGTGTTTATTCTTTAATTATTTTTTTATATTTATATATTGAAACAAATGATGGGAGATCAGGTATTTTTTCTGCATTTGACTTTTGTTTGAAATCTGATTAAACAATATTAAATCTGGTTTGGTAAATACTGTTTTCCCATACTGAAATGAAAGAAATAGTTTTACATAAGCTATTTTCACTTCAAAGTACATGTATACAGTTATTTTTAATTGCATATTGCATTTTGGTTTACTAAAGGAAATAGGTAATTGGAATTTTGGAGTGCAATTTCATGCTTCGAACAGCAGATGGCACAATTCAACAATCAAGTTTAAGGATGTAGCTACTGAAGCACAATACAACTTTATGTCGAAACCAGCTTTAGTTTTAAGATGATAATAAATAAACTGATTAATTAAATATGCTAAATTCATTTGAAAAGCAAGCTGTAGCTGCGTAAGATTGTCATGGTATTTCCAAAGTAACCAATCTTTTAAATGTTCTCAGATCTGTTAGAAAATAGCCTGCTTTGTTAAAATGTCCAAGAAAAGTAAATACCATGTTAGAAAGTAAAACCTGTGGCACATGGTCTGAATAGACTTATTGTGCCATTTTAGGACTGCATAAAGTCTTCTGTTGCTTTCACTCAGTACCAGCAGTTTTTATCCCATATAATTGACATATATTGCCTAGCTGATCTTGAATTTGACTTCTTTCTAGTAGTCTCTTTTTCCTGAATTGTAGAGGACTTGTAACAGAGCAGTCTGTCCATCTTATAAGCACTTCATTTAATAAAAATGGAAGACAAGGTAGGAAAGAAAAAAATTCTTACTGTTTTATTTTCAGCCAAGGATCTCATTCAAATGGGTCTTTTGGTGCAAACTTGCTGACAATACCAAAACAAAGATCATCTTCTATGACATTGACTCATCATATAGGTCCCAGACGAGCAGGTAAGATCGTGCAATTTGTATAGCTTAGTGGTAGGATATCAAGTTAGTAGTTAGTACATTACATATTACTTTTTTTTTTCTTCATGAGAATGTAGTACTAAAATAACATCAGCGTGTTGCATATATTTGAAAAAAAATTTATTTTTAATTTGCTTCTAAGAATACTCAAAATTACTGTTAACATCAACTTTGTAGAAATCTCGACTATTCACCTAATGCTATGTTGCTGCAAAATGTTATGATGTTCAGTATAGTTGGTACCTGTTGAAAATTGCACTGTTCACATACATTAATAAGGGACTTTTTTTAGTAATTATGCTTTTCGTACTGGAACAGTGTCACTTAGACACTCCTAAATACCTGATAGCCATCTGAGATTAATATTCAAACAAATTTTGGAAGGACTTGGAGTAGATTTTGTTCTAACACTGTCAATGCAATAAGTTAGTACATACTGTAACAGCAGTGCTGAAATAATGTGTATGTCAGTATTTCAGAGATTGTAACTTGTCTATTTGCTCCTATTAAGTGAAAACTTGAAAACTACTTCTTCTGACATTTCTGACTATCCATTTTAGCATAATTTAAAAATAACAGCCCATCTAATAATTTTGTTTTATAAAAGTTTAAATATGCAGGTTGGATTGAGAGAGACGAATGAACTTTTAATTTTTATTTTTTTTTAAACCCAAAACTGTATTGTTTCACTTCCACTCTTCTAAACACTAAGAAACATGCAAACTCAGGCCAGAGCTGCATGTAAACACATGGTTGCATATTCTCAATGGTTCTGTCATCATAAAAAGCTGGGCTGCTTTCTGCACTTTTCTACTTTGAGTCTGGAAAATACAGAGCACAATGATATGCATTAAAACCTGCTGAATGTATATATGTAAAAAGGATGAAATTAAGTAACCAACATTAGAGTATTAACCTGTTTTAGTTCAGGAAGGGAGTTTACAAATTGCTTCTCAACTTTCTAGACCTTTCTTTGCAGCAGTGAAGTGACAGGTGCTTTCTAAAACTTCTGTCTCTGCAGCTAGCAATGTAGACTTTGAAAAATTTTGTCTTTTATTGTAACAAAATGTAATTACATACTACTCTTAGGGGGTGTGAGTCAAGTTAGTGTAGCCTATGACACTGTTGGAAGTGTAAAAGTATAATTCATACATTCCCTATTTAAGGGCAATACTGTATATTCTCTTAGTAATTTGTTATCAGGCACTGTATAGTCATAAAACCTATGATGGAGTTTTTCCTTCTTAATTTGCAGCAGAATAAGCGATTCAGCTTTGGAAAGTCCACAGAATACCTCATTCTTTTGCTCATGGGTACTTTATTCTATTTTGATAAAAGTGTGTTTACAATGGCTATAACTTACCGTGGGCACTTGTAGATAACCTGTCTTTTGTATATTTTCACAAGGGAAATAAGTGATGTTTTGGCTTAATGCAAAATTTTGTTGTAAATTAGGCGCAGAGTAGCCAAAGTCCAGATTTACCAGTTTGCTTTCCTAGATTTCCCAGACAGAAGCCTGAGGTAAAGCCTAGCTTACTGTTTGGACAGGAATGGGGAATTTCATGGACTGAAGGGAGATGGAGTTGTTTGTTTATTGTTTGGGTTTTTTTAATCTCTAATGACCCATGAGCAAACTTTAGATTGCCCCC